CGTTATGTGGTCCTGCCACCTCACCTTCAGTATCCTCCTCAGGTTTCTCTGGTGGAAGGCGTATAGCTTTCTGGATGCTTTAGCTGTACATTTCCAGGTTTCGCTAGCGTAGATTGCAGTAGGTACGACAATACTGTTGTATAGTCGGAGCTTGGTGTCAAGGTTGATGGTGGTTGCTGACCAGATGGAGTTCATCCGTCGGAACACAGAAGCAGCTTTCCCAACCCTACAGTTAATGTCAGGCTCTACTTCTCCGCTGTTGCTTATAACACTCCCAAGGTAGGTAAACTGATCCACGACCTCTACCTGACTGTTGTTGACAGTGATGTTCAGTCGAGGTTGACCTGTGTGGTTTCCCACCTCCATCGCCTTGGTCTTCTCAGAACTCACCCGTAGCCCAACTTTTCCAGAAGAGGTCTCCAGCTTCGTGGTAAGGTGCTGTAAGCCTTGGTTATTCTCGGACAACAGAACAAGGTCATCTGCAAAGTCTAAGTCCGCAAGTCTGGACTCTTCCCTCCACCTAATGCCCTCCTTCCCAACTCCAGTGGTCTTCCTCAAGACAAAGTCAATTGTGATTAAGAACAAGAAGGGGGAGAGGATACAACCTTGTCGGACCCCTGTGATGATGTTGAGAAGTCTGTTGTCCCTCCCTCCGTTGGGTCAGCATGACGCAGTTGTATATGAAATTCGCATCATTTGTCAATGCGCAAGGGTAAAGGAAGTCAAAGATTCCACGAGGACACACTTCAGGAGAAAACTTGAAGCAAAATTCCATGACACGTTAGACTTTGAAGAGCTCTTTGGCAATAACAAAGTTTTTGTTATCCCGCGAAGTCTCTACAGGCTGGATCTAGCCAGGTTCGCTGCAGAGAAGTGCAACACGGATGAAGAAACATCGAAAAACCGTGCTCCGCTTACGGGAAGCAATCCAGGGACAAGAGAGTAAAGTGTCATGGAGCCTAAACCTTGTAAACTGACAGAACATGCTGTGAGCATTCCAGATAATGTGAAAGAGTTCTTGTACGTTCTGATGACAGGCAAAACGGAATTTCCGGGTCTGCAGTCTTGTCCTGAAAGGGTTACACGCCTTCTCATGTCGTTTGGACAGGACTTAGTATTCGCAGTGAGCGGTGGACGGCAGAAGCCCCCTAATCACATTTTGCTTCCATATGCCTTAAAATCACTCACAAACAATACCCAACTCATTCAAATCCTAAACCGATGTGGTCATTGAATTGCATATTCACAACTTAAAGAGATATGTGGAGGTGACAACGTGGCAGGAGGAGGCATGGAGAAAGAACCTACTATGGATCTTAGTGCGCATGCATGCAAGAGGAAAGCAAACGTAACCATCCCTGGCTGGACTGGATTCAACAATCGTTTCCGAAATGACCAACAGGGTTAACAACAGATTAAAGTGTTATATATATGCCACTATAAATGCCCCCAGCAACGAACATGTCTACTGTATACGAAGTAATGAGAAGTCACTACAGATCAAAGAATCCTTGAATCTCAGAAAGCATTGCAGTTGTGTTTGATCAAGCTCTGTACGCCAAAGCTATTGAAATCAAGTGGAAACACGGATCCCTGTTTAATGACCTAGTGCTGAGAATGGGAGTATTCCACACAATCTGCACATTCTTGTCGGTGATTGGCAAGCGCTTTGAAGACGCCGGCTTGCGAGACCATATGCGTTGAATCTGGGATCATTGCTGAAGTATCCGTCCCTGGCGTGATGGGAGGTCGCAAATATAAGCGTGACATACGGTTTCATAAGCTAATGTTTGAAGCTCTCAACAGGCTAGCGTGGACGGGGTTCCTGTCATGGACAGAGGAGCATTACGAAGGGACAAAGCCTCTTATTGATGATTTCTTCACAGAACTGGAAAAGTCTGGAATCACTTCATGAAAATCCATGCGAACAAGAATTCAACGGCATCATGGCAAACCCATCATTTGAAGTTGTATCAGATCTCTTCTAAGCCTATCTGCACTAACTCCGTCATGAAAACGGGAAGCTTTCAACCTCTTGGATGTCTTCTGTCGACATGGTGCAGTTGCTACTGGGACTGTTGAGAGGGACTCGGGAGGGAGATTGGGATCTCCACCTCTCATCTATCAAAGACCCTGTCGGGAGAATACCTGTGGATCAGACATGTGAGGAAATTGTCAACAAAGACACTCAAACTCCTGGTGGAACGAAAGGGTTCAGCCTTAAGCCAAATGCTGTAAGCAAGTACTATCTTGTCGCTGAGTATCGGAGCAGATTTCTGAGGCAACTGGAGAGCATGTTACATATTGATGGCTCGTCAGCTCATCACAGTGATCTACAAAGTGCAAGGATAGCAAGGGATGAAGCTGATGTCCAGTCTATAGTATCCATTCTTCAAACCACTTGGCTCAATCCATTCAACCATGATCTCCAGGATCTTGTCAGTCTCTCTACTGGAAAGATTGCCACTCCTGAGGTAGAAACCGATTTCCTTCGAGCTCAAGATATCGTCCCGAGTGTAGTCTCGGTAGCAAGTTTTATGATAGCATGCCTCTGTCGCAACAAGCTATCTCGTATACCCACATCCCCCATATAGAGCCCAAATCAACATTCCTAATTCATTAAAGCTTCTTCGATACTTGTCTAATGATTATCACACATCATGTCCACATTGGCCCTAACGTACCCAGTAGTGAGAAGTCATTGCCCGATTTAGTATAGTCCAAAACCCGAAAATCCCCCATAAAGACCCCTCAGTCTCAGTCACGGCTCGCGTTATGTATGGCCCAACCCAACGACGCTTGTTTTTGAATCAGTAGATGCATGTTCCTCTCTCAAACCACAGTAAAACCATTAACTAAAGCCACTGCCCATATGAGATAATGTGCCTTAAAAATGAATAAAATGCATAGAGATGTAAATTCTGCTTTCATTGGTTCCAGTCACCCCCTGTCACACCCTCTTAACTTCAATGTGTCCTCTTGAGCTTTGGGTCTGTAAAACTAGAAAAGCTATGCTATGTGGTAGTATAAACGTTTTATCCATATCTTTATCAGAATCATCAGTGCAGCCATCGTAAGTTCAGTAATTTTCAGCCATAAATTACCTGGTTTCGGAGGCTCTCGGAGGGGGGTCCCAGATCTCCATAATGACAAATATCTGGAGGGTTTTAAGTATATGGTTGTTCACAGTTCCCCATACCTATCTCGCATACAAAGTTTGAGCCGACTTGGCCAACCCCCATCTTCCGGCCTCTGCCTGGTTTTCTCGTGCAATGACTCATATATAAATTAACCATTTATGGTCGGAAAGTAGCTGAAAAGTCCAAAAATAAGTAATTTCACGTTGTTAATGGCATAAAAGTTAACAACGTCCTATGGGTAGATGTCCAAGGCACACCGTACCAATTACAGGTTAATTGGGTTTAATGCCAGCGCACAGGACGCATTTTGTTAGTCACACTGTCTTCAAATTACCCATGATGCATTGCTCTATTCCCGCCGATTTGATAATCAGCCTGATGGGGTGCAATGCTTTAAACACTCGTAACTACAGATAGCATTGACCGATTTTGTTGATTTAAAGCCCAAAATGCAGCGCATAATATGGCCAATCATCATAACTTGTTACACAAGGCCCCATAGGTAGCCTGAATAAATGCCTGATTTTGGAAAGTAAACAATGATTTTTTACACAAAAAATTACCCTCAAAATCGGACTTTAAAGGCGTATAACTTCCTAAAAAACTGCAGAATATCGGCAAAAAATCTATTGTGTTGTGATTACTGTGGCATGTTTTGTCTACAAACCAATTTTCGCCGAGAATTATTGATGTTTGATATTTTTTTCCCGGCCCTTTGGATTTAGTCCCAAGGCACGAGGTCCATTTTGATGACGTCACTTGGTCACGTGATTACACCAAGAAAGCTACTCATACAGACTTGCTATCATACATCAAAATAAACTTTGGTTATTGCAGATTCAAAAAATCTATGGTAGCACTGGTCCGTCTTGGTGGTACAAAAAACGGTCTCGGCCCATGGACTAATACCCTATGGTGGCCATACCCCCCTGGCAAATTGCTCGTCCTATTCAATTTCATTACCCTTCAGTTAGTGTGGTTAGTATGGATGAGGCTGACTGAAAACGTAGCACCGATAGGAAGAACTTGCCTACAGAAAAGCCTAATACCTAATGGCCGCCGGCGAACACATTACTAGTGTAGCTTTGACATCCGCCAAACCAGGGCAAAAGACGATACTACTAAAGGTTTAACCGCTTGAGGAGCTATAAAGGCGGGCTATTGACTGGGCCAATTGTCTGTCCGCCCCGCCGCTCGTGTTACGCCGTGCCCCGGTTGTATTGATCCGGCCACGCGCGCGGTTTTACCCCATCATTCACACACGGTCGGGCTGCGGCGGCGGGGCATGTACTGTACACCGCACGGGGACCGTCTCAGACATTCACGCACTGCTTCTTACAGAAGTTTGTTAGCTGTCCAACAGTTCCAAGTCCCGTGAGAGCGAACGTCTCAAAGCGTAGAAAGTTAATTCATCAAGTGAGGAAATAGGTGTCAATGAGTTTCCCAGAGTCTCAACATAACAATGTCAATTCAAACTCAGTACCTTTATATATAGATTGGAAGTCAACAACCCTAACCTGGTCACGGTAACCACCTTGAACCTTCTCTGCACCAGAGGGCCAGGCCCAGGGCAGTGTCAAAAAATACCCCACTGCTTCTTACCGAAGTTTGTTCACTACTTTTGGATCCAATCAGACATATCAAATTGGCCAAGCAGTATCCATTCACCCTTTGGTGGCGTATGGACCATCTCTGGGGAATGGATACTGACTGGCCAATTTGATACTGCCCTTTGCTACCGTAAGATCTGCTTGGAGATTAGTTTTTGACTGCAGTTATACGTAATTTTATACCCATTTTGGACACATACCTGAAGAAATTCTAGGGTGAAAACAAGCATTTCTTGTTCTTTCTGCCCAGAGAGCCAGGAGCCGTGCAGGTACGTGTACAGAAGCGATGACGCGCCTGACGGCGTGCTAGCCTCGCCAGGCTTCCCCGCGGACTACCCGGAGCGGCAGTTCTGCACCTACGTCCTGCAGGGAAAGCCTGGGGAGAGGCTACGGCTGAAGTTCAACGCCCTGGAGATAGAGGGCGCTCCGCACGAGAGTAACAGACCGTGGTAGGTGGTTGACCGGATTTTTTGGCAACGCGAGAAGGGTGGGGCAGCCAATGTAATCCATACTATCAGTATATTAATGGAGTTGAAAATATCCAGAAAATGCCACCAATGGAGGAGATGTATATTTCGCATAGCAAAGTCCATTTGCCTCGTATCATTTTTGCAACGCTAGAGGGGTGGAGGATTTCATGTGGTACAGCACCAAGTTGAAAATGGTACAAAAAGCTACGTACCTTGGAAGGGAGTTGACCTCACGAATACTCTATTTTGTTCATGTGAATTTTTTTGTACACTGTCAGTTTCTTCACCTGTCACCATGACTACCTGGAGGTGGAGGAGCTGAATGACGTGGACCAACCAGTGCGCACCCTGGGCCGTTACTGTGGCAACTGCGTCCCACCCACTCTGGTGACGTCACGGCCAAGGGCGCAGCTCACCTTCGTCACGGACGAGACCAAGAACTACGGGGGGTTCCAGGTCGAGTTCAACTTCATTACCAATGGTGAGCAGATATTTTTTTTCAATTTTTGAGATAATGATAAGCTTCGTGGGTGAAGGTTCATTGACGAAAGGCAGTGGATGCTACCTGAAACGTCTGACCGTTTCCAAAGTCATATCCAGTCACTGTTTTTTTTTGCAAATAATAAGCTTCCCCGTGTTGAAAAGTGATAACCAATGTAGTGTCGCCGGTATAGGAGCTGACAAAGGAACAGATTTTACCATTACACTCTGTACTTTTCTGTAGATTGCGGAGGAACGTACAGGGTAGCGGGCGGGGTGTTGGAGTCCCCGGGCTTCCCCGGTCCTGTCCCCGCTAGTGTGTTCCAGTGCGACCCGGTCCTAAGAACAGCCCTAGCGCTAATGATACTGGAACAGATCTTACCATAACACACAGTACCTTTTCGCAGATTGCGGAGTAGCAGGAGGCGTGCTAGTGCTCCCATGAGCTAACCCTAGAACAGTCCTTAAATACTAATGAACATGTACTGCACCTTCCTGTAGACTGTGGCGGGACCTACAGGGTAGCGGGCGGCGTGCTGGAGTCCCCGGGCTATCCCGGTCCTGTCCCCGCTAGCGTGTTCCTGTGCGAGTGGGTTTAGGAACAGACTCCTAACACTACTATACTGTATTTATCCGTAGACTGTGGTGGGACCTACAGGGTAGCTGGAGGGGTGCTGGAGTCGCCTGGCTACCCTGGACCTGTCCCCGCCAGCGTGTTCCAGTGTGAGTGGGTCCTCGAACTGTCCTCTCCCAACAACGACGTGTCCGTGCAGTTCCTGGATATGGACATCGCCTACGAAGGTACAGTATGTATGTGGAAGGTTAAGATATGGGATAAGATGGAGAATATGTAAAAGCACAAGGTGCAGCTTAGAACTAACGCAAGGGAAGATGCATTTGTTTTTTTTAAGTCAGGAAGAATGGCTAATAAAGTAAAATATGTTTTTTATATCATTTTACATTTTTAAAACAGAGCTCGAAGTCTAAACGTTTTAAAGAAAAGTTACAGGTCGTGAGGTCCATTCTGTATTCTTTAAACTTAAGCTTCTGAGAAAGTCTTTATTGTCATATTTTGAATAATACGTTGGAAACAATCCTTCTTCCCAGATGCTGAGCTACAGACGTACCAGGTGAAGCATGACGTCACCGGTGCCCTGGTGATGGCCGAGCCCGCCAAAAGTTCCGACTCTCCTGACGTCATGGAAACCAGCCCTGACGCGACGGCGCTCATCGTCAGGTACGTCCGATCCATATATGGTAAATCTCAACTTCATGCTGGATTTAATCAACTTCAATCTAACATAAATTTCATTCTAAAGCCCCCTTTCCACCATTGAGCGACTAATAGTTGAATCATGTCTCCCTTGATTTTATAATTGGAGTGATGCATAAAAAATGAAAAAGGAAAGGCAAAATCATAATTTTCTCCCTTTTACAGTTTTACATCTAAAACCGGCCGGGGAAGGTTCAGGGCATCTTGGACCCAGTTCACGCATGTTCCAGGTAAGTTACCACCACCATTCCCCTTCCATATATGCATTCCCCTCTCCCCTCTCCCCTTACCCCTCTCGACTAACTTTTGGGACCTTGGTGTAACTTTCCTGTATCTTTTGTGGTCTGTAATTAGGGAATTGCGCCTCCCGGTACCCAACTATAAGAACGCGAAAGCAAGCACACAAACATACCGCAATTCCAACGTACACAGAGGTAGTACGTTTTTGTGGGCTCGTACGAATAGAAAAGATACATGTTGCTGTATTTATCGTCTTCAGCTAACGGGACGTGTGAGGGTTTCCTGTGCGCGGTGCATGCCGGTCGCTGCATCCACTCTGCCCTGGTGTGTAACGGGTTTCCCAACTGCGGCAGCAGAGACAACTCGGACGAACGGGACTGCCAACCTCCGTCAGGTTAGTCAGTGCAAAAGCCAAAAGAATTTAAAAAGAAAAAGAGACAAAAATCATAGGAAAAAAGTATATTGTGATAAATTTAGGATTTGTTCTACGCAAAAACGCAGACCACAGACGAGACCGACTGCCAGCCTCCATCAGGTCAGCTCATGCAACCTGTTATCTTTTTTATCCATCTCCTAGCAGATCTTTTGGTGGCTTCAAAAACTGAATCAAATTGGCCAGGCAGTGATCATTTCGCTACCGTAACTGATTCTGTCTTTGGAGCCACCAAAAGATCTGCTTGAAGATTATTGATGTGTATAAGACTTGCATAATTTAAAAAAAAATTAATTATGAATCCATAAAAAAAAGACCCATCTACGTTATGGAGTAGCCTTCATATTGTGAAAAATTTAGAATTTCTACAACGCTAAAACACATACCTTTGGCCGCCGCAAATGCCTTTATTTAGTTTTGACTGCCTGTTATCATTATTATATCAGTACAGATCAACTGCCTGCCTATAAAGTTTGCCATTTGTTGTCTTGTAATGAAACGTATCACATTCGAGAATCTTCTTACTTTTCTGCAGGAGGATCAGACAACGTGGTTGTGGGGATAGTGGTGGCGCTGGTCCTAGCGGTTCTGCTGCTAATTGCAGCGGCGTGCGTCGGGCACGCCTACAGACAGCGCCAGGTGGACAAGCGGGGCAGGCCGCTGAGGTCAACGGACGCTCGGTCATCGACCCGGTCCAACAGACGGCTGAAGGAGAACATGAAAGTGCCGACAGAGGAGGGGGAAGAGGAAGAAGCAAGAGGGTTGACCGACAGGGGCCAGCATGCGTAGCGTGTTTTACTTTTAGAAGTGATATAATCTTAAATGTTTTGTACAGAAATTGGATGTTTTCTTTCTCAACTTGAGAACACTTTTGAGTGCGTAGCTTGTGAGAAAAGATGTAAATGTGAATATTGAAATGTTTGAATATTGTGTAATATTTCTTTTATTGTAGATTGTGAGATGATTATTATCAAATAAACTCTGCTATTTTGTTAATCGGAAATGTGCAATTACAAGAAACAAAACGTCCAAAAAATAGGAAATATGACTCAAAGACAAAGAACAAGAAGACTTTTTCTTCTCTTAAGCCAAAAGATACATGTATACTTCATGTTTTTGTATGGAATACTATAATTGATGTACATTTACCGCATTTATACTTGTTAGTTTGACAATCCTGTATCTGGATGTGTTTAATAGAATGACTGCGTACGTGCCAATTTTCTCTGGTGCTAGAATCAGCTCAATGTAATAACGAAAATGATTGTATAAACCATTTTGATACTAATTAAGTAAACGAAAAGGCATCCATTTCAGTAGCTGATCTTTTATATGTGGGATAAACTTAGAGAAGATATTCAAAATGTACGAGAGTGATTTAGACTACAGAATACCAAAAGCTCAGCCTATACCAGACCATCTGATTCTAACGGTGCGTCTGCCTGCAAACTTAAGTGCCTTATAAACCACTTTACATAAATATGATTAAATAAAAACAGTTCGTTCTATTGAATATAAAAAAAACTTTTAATAGATGAATACGAAATGTCATTATGAGCTGTACGAACACATCGTGAATAGTTTTGATGTAATGTTACGTTTGAAGTACACCTATGATTATGTTATATCATTCCCTGCCAAAGACGTTTTTAACGTGAGTTGTGGTTATGATTTTTACTGTATAGATGTTATAACAAAGTATCACTGATGTTTATATTTCTATATTACGCAATGGTTTTTCACCATATTCTTTGCTGAGACATTGCTGAAACCCATGCATGCCTCAAAGTCATTTGTGGACATTTCTGACGTACTGTTTTACCACTCTAATAATTAGTGCGCACTGTGTACTGTGTAACTTGGACGTCACGTGAACAGAACATTAAAATGTTTTTACTTGACTTGATGGTTTGGTTTGAAAGATACTGCAATATTTGAAAGACACTTTATTGGAAAGATAACCTTTCCTGTCTCATTTCTGGTTATCAAGTCACAGTAAGATGTTCACTCAGGTCCCTAACTAACTGGGCAAAGTCAGAATCTACCGTGTCCTCTCTGTCTACATTTTGAATCATACGTTTTGCTTGTTCGAGGTAGTTTCGTGCTTTCCCGTCATCGCCAAGTTTGCTCCAAGAAAATGCAAGATTGTAAAGTAGCACGGCAATGTCCGGGTTTGACGTATTGGGTCCATAGGAATCTTTCATCATCGCCAGAGCCTGTTCAAAGCAGTTTATCGCTCTCCTTAAATCACCGAGAATGCCACAAGATGTCCCTAGATTTTTTAGTGTCACGGCAATATCAAGATGTGTCGATTGTTCTCCGTAAATATGTTTATGCATTCTGAGTGACTGTTCATGGTAGCTGACTGCCTTCGAATGTTCTCCAAGCCCGTCCAAAGTTACTGCAAGACTTCCAAGAGCTTTGGCTATGATACAATGCACCGTGTTTTCGCCATACACAGATCTATACAACCTCAGTGACTCCTCTAAGTAACCGACTGCTTTCTTGTAGTCTCCAAGGTCATTCCAAGAAAGTCCAAGATTTTGAAGTGACCGGGCAATATCGGAATGCACCGTGTTATCACCATGGATACGCTTATACATCTCCAGTGACTCTTCATAGTAGCGAATTGATTTCCTTCTGTCACCGACTCTACTCCAATACGCCCCAATACTATTAAGTGAGTTGGCAATGTCAGGATGATCTGTATTACATCCATAGATAGATTTCCTCATCTTTAAACACTGTTCAAAGTAACCGATTGCTTTCCCCAAATCGCCATGTTTAATCCAGCACTCCCCAAGATGGCCAAGTGACTTGGCAATATCAGGATGTGGCGTTTCCTCTCCATACACAATCTTATACATTGTTAAGGAGTCTTCGTGATACTCGATCGCTTTTCTCTGATCACCGAGGTTACTGAAACAGGATCCCAGACTGCAAAGTGCCGATGCGATTCGTGGATGTGGTGTCTTCTCCCCATACACGGCTTTCAACATGCTGAGTGACTGTTGGTAGCATCTAATCGCCTCCCTCTTATCGCCAAGTTCGCCCAAACAGTTTCCAATATTGGTAAGTGACGAGGCAATGTCAGGATGCGGCGTGTTGTCTCCATAGATAGCTTTCCTCATGCTCAGGGACCTTTCATGGTAGCTGATTGCTTTCCTGTACTGACTCAAATCTCCCCAAACACTTCCAAGATTGTTGAGTGTATTGGCAATGTTAGGATGCGGAGTGTTCTTTTCGTACATTGCTGTCTCCATTTCCAGAGACTGTTCCAAGTAAGTGATAGCCTTCTTGTAATCGCCAAGTTTTCGCCATGCTGAACCAATATTGAAGAGTGACGAGACAATAAGCGGATGTGCCGTGTTATCTCCATAAATAGCTTTCTTCATCTTCAATGACTCTTCATAGTAGCCGATGGCTTTTTTCGAACTACCCAGATTGCTCCAAGCAGATCCAAGATTATTTAATGATCCCGCAATGCGAGAATGTGGTGTGTTCTCTCCGTAAATAGCTCTCGTCATCCTCAGAGACTGTTCAAGGCAGCTGATTGCTTCCATGTTATTGCCCAAGTCCATATAAGCAGTTCCAAGATTGTTTAGTGAGTTGGCTGTGTCGGGATGTGGCGTATTGTCTCCATGCATTTCTTTCAACATCATCAATGACTGTTCTAAGTAGCTGGTAGCTTTTTTGAAATCGCCGAGTTTCATCCAAGCAGTTCCGATTTTGTTGAGTGATCCAGCGATTAGGCTGTGCCCTTTAACGTCTCCATAGATTGCTCTTCGTATGTTCAAAGCCTGCTCATGGCAGTTTATTGCTCTACGCAGGTCGCCTAGTTTAGTACAACATGAACCAATGCCACTGAGTACCATGGCAAACTCAGAGCGAACTGCGTTGTACCCACACATAACTTTCAGCATTTCAAGGGAATGTTTAAAGAGGCAAGAGGCTTTTATGTACTCTCCGAGACTACTCCAACACACTCCAAGATTGTGAATTGACATGGCAATGGAAGGATGTACCGTATTGTATCCATACATTGCCTTGTCCATCCTCAGTGCCTGTTCAAGGTAGTTGATGGCTTTTCTGTCGTCGCCGAGTTTACTCCAACATTGCCCAAGACTGTTCAGAGGTCTTGCTATGCAAGGTCTTGCTACTTTATCTCCATAGATAGCACGGACAATCTTTAATGACTGCTCATGGCACTTTATCGCTTCCGTTGTATTACCGAGACCATCCCAACATATTCCAAGTTCGTGATATAAACTAGCAGTCTCGTGAGTTGCCACGCCAACGCCGTATAGCTTCTCTGTTATGGCAAGTGATTGTCGAAGGTAGTTCATCGCTTTCCTCTGATCACCGAGCTCACTGCAGGATACCCCAAGATTGCGAAGTGACATAGCAATCCAAACATTAGGTGTGTTTTCTCCATAGATATCTTCAGATATTTTCAGGGACCATTCTGAGTGCCTAATCGCTCCCTTGTAATCATTGCAAGCTATGCAATTGTCTGCCAGATTAATAAGTATTGGTACATACATTTCCTGATCTCCGTCCACTGTTTCCAGCGCCGCTTCCAACGAAATAGTAGATACCTGATACTGATGTAATGTTTTAGCTATGAGACCCCTAAGAAGATGGGAGTTGTCAAATATGACCCTTTCTGAGAACGCCGCCTTTAGGGCCTGGCTACTGTTGTCAAAGACAGCCAAAATGCACTCCTTCAGTGGAATAGCTGTGTAGTAGTAGCGGAAGAGCATTTTAGTGTCTGGGATGTGGAATACTGTGTCTATAACGGCGTGAGGAATGTCCTCTCCCGTCAGGTCACTTTTCATCTCCGGCAGAACTGACACTTGCTCCCTCTGCCCTTCATTACTCAGGTATGTTCTTAGTCGCAGTTCTGCTGAGATGCTGGTGAGCACTTTTAAGTGGTTTGAATTTTCACTACTGATCTGTCCATTTCTCCCCATCTCCTCCAACGCTTTCCACACGCTGGCAGACGCATTCCCACAGACTACGCGTAACAATTCAATAGCTAGGCTGGGTAAGCGATAGATTTCCTTTTTGACATCTAAAAGTTCTTCGCGAGGCAGGCGGTCGCCAGTTTCTCCAATACTTCGCTTCAACACTGCCAATGTCGACGAACTGAACTTAGACGACGTAGCTGCAGATTCTTCCAGCTTTCTCGTGTAGTCATCCACTAGATCCTGATCTCCCATGAGGAGTACAGCACGTCTGAGTACGATGGACAGGTGATAGCCGTCTGCCAGGGAAACATCTTGTCGCTGGAACTCCGCCATCTTGGTCGGTGTCTGGATAAGACTAAGGGCTGGTTTGGATTTGGTCTGCTCTCTGCCGAAAGGTGTCTTGCAAGCCCAGGGCATGAAGCCGTCGAAGGCAAAGCCGCGAGGTGTGACGGAGTCGTAGAACCAGTCTCTCTCTGGGTCCTCGGAGTAGAAGTCGTTGAGTGACGGGATCGCCATGGCCGGGAGGATGGTCTCTCCCAGGTTGATGGCTTTCAGGTGTAGGTAGTGGGTGAGATTGAGGAAGTACCTCCGTGTATCATCATCATCATCCTTCCCATCCTCGATCAGAATGGCGAACTCCAGGTCAGAGTAGGGTGTCACCAGTTCTGTGGCCTGTGAGCCCAGCCCGATGTAAGCGTACTTACACGGAGGAGAACCAAGTTTCTCCATGCATTCTTCAAGAAGCCCTTGGACGAACTCTTGTCTCTCCCTGGAGATGTACCGGAACAGCTTCTCAATCGCCTCTGCTCTTTGGACTTCAACTTCCCTCACTGCTGGGTAATTCTCGTCATATTGGTAAGGGTTGTGTTTCTCATCGATCATTTCCAACTGAGATTTCGCATAGGAACGGACGGCTTCTAACTGCTCTCTATGGGCTTGTATTTTGTTACGGAGACTAACCTGGGAGTCGACCCCTTTCACATGTTGTAGGAATAACAGTTCTACTTCCTGCAGTTTCTCCACGAGGTTTTCCCGGTTGTTTGGATCGTCGGTTCGGGCTATGGCTGCGTTGTACAGCGCTGCTGCCTGTGTGAATTTCTTACCTTCTTTTGTTGCTTGGCCTTTTTTGGTGTAGACGTCACCAAGTCTGGACAGGCAGTGGGCTTCGTCAGGCAGGGCAGGCTTGCTTGGGTCTGTACATAAAGAGTAAGGTTATGGTACATCTATCACACACACACACACACACACACACACACACAAACTCACACACACACACACACACACACACACACACACAAGCATACACACACACTGACACACCTAAACACACGCACTCACAGACACACACACACGCACTCACACACACGCATGAGCGCGTACACACACGCGCACTCACGCGCTCACACACACACACACACATACACAAATACACACACACACATACACGCGCGCAAACACATACACACACACGGACACAAACAGGCACTCACACAAAGCACTCGCGCGCGCACACAAACACGCACTCACAAACACACACACACGCGCACTCGCGCGCGCACACACACACACAGTGACCCACAGAGAGGTCTGTCCTTGGTGCTGAATGCCATCAACACACGCATGACACATACCCACACACACATACACACGCACTATCTCATACACAACTGTAAATCTATACAATGTACAATGTACTGGATACTGACTCACCGTGAATAAGTCTCAGGGCAAAGGCAAAAACTTCCTCCGCAAAATCCAGGTGGCCGCTCCTCAGGATGTGGTCCGCTATCCTCAGGCAGCCACTGTACAACCTGGTAATCAGAGACATAATATAAACATGTATCTCTCGGTGGTAGTGCTCGTATTTGAACGTTTAACGATCATGACAAACAACATGGATGGTCAGTATCAAGTTTCTTACCTTCTTGTTTCACGCGTAGTGACGTCAGCGTCCCCGTGTGACGTCAGGATGTCGCGGGGGAGTTGGACGTCATGCTTCCTCCCTCTATATTTTGTCTTGGCCTTTTTGCTCTTTCATGACAGACAAAACGGAGCAATTCAACTTTGTATAATCCTAAACAAAAATTTTTATTCAAAGCTTCTAAAATATGTTTCTAACATTTGTTCACGAGTTTCGAATGAATCCATTGATCTAACGTAATAAGTCTGGACCGTCTTTTAAGTGAAAATCCACATAGTAACACACAATTTACAGATTCTGATGATAATATATAATATAGATTATTTCTTCAGAAAGAAGATGGGGCTTTCTAGAACGCCCCTTAGCTTTTTTAATGTTGTGTTGACGTCTTGCCTGACTTCTGCCGTGTACAGTAACCGGTGCAGCAGAACGGCGCTTCCCTGGCCCCCCTCCCACCTCGCCAGGGCCGTGCTGTACAGAGCAGACGCCTTCGTCAGGCACGTCGTGTCTCTGGTTTCCCTTCCTCTTTTCAGGTACGCGTCGCCCAGACTCTTAATGGCTTCCGCTTCCAGTCTACTGTCACTAGCTATAATGCCTTCCACCATCAACCGTGTGTATCCAACCATCACAGCGTCTATGCTGTCACCTGAGGCCAAGTTCTTGTCCAACTCCTGGAATCTTTCTGCCAAACTGGCTGGCGAAGAGCTTCCTGTGCATTTCACGGTGTCTTTCTGGTACGGTGGGTGTTTTAACCGCCGCCGCGCCGCATATTTGTACCGATGCTCCAGGGTTAGCCCCACTTCCGGGTCCATACACCGCACCTGAGCAGTCGCGTACAGCCTCATGGCCCTGGTGAACTTGCCGACGTCCTTGTCGAGTTCTCCCTGTTCCAAGTTCAAGTCTCCCAGAGTTTTGAGCAGCTCCACCTCCGCCCACCTGTCCATGTCGGCCATGGCGTCCAGTAGCGCGCGGAGGTAGCCTGACTCCGCCCGGGCAGGGCCGTGGTTCAGCCGCTCACGGTCAGGCTTCAGCAGCCTTTCACACATCCGCAACATCGCGGACGTTTTATCACTGCTTAATTCAAGTCATAAACGGTAAAATTGTACTTGTTGTGACTTCAAAAAGCTGCGAAACTACGCAGGCGAAACTACGCAGCATCGTTGACTGGAAAGTCCCGAAACGTACGTCAGGTACTTCCCCGTAGTGACGCCCTTTGAACTGTGACGTAGACGTGGCGTTACGTACGCTTGCAGTGTGCCGTGTTCCAGTCGAACCGCAGGTCACCGTAGAACGCGTTATTCTCTAAGATACGGCGTTTGCCGGGTCACGATTTGACCCCGTTGCATGGGTGTAAACAACTGCCTATAGTGCAGCAAAAATACCTCAGACCTACACAATGTTTACATTTTTTCATATCTACAGGATTTGCCCAGTACAACCATGTAGATATTTCGTGCATTGCAAAATGACAGCGAGCGCTACGGCCTTCCAAAAATTAGAAATTTTTGGTCATTTTATCAAGTTGTGCTTGTCTTTTTTTACTATTTAACTGGATCCCGTTAGCTAATACCACAGTGTGATAGCCCACTTCTTTACCTTTACATTGATACCAATGACCCCTAGTAAATTTTATGGCAAACGGGTTTGCCCCCAAAAAAACTGTGACGATGCGCATAACGGTGGTCAAATTTAGCCCAGTTGTAAGCTACTGACACACACCATCCTGAGTTTCCGCTACATTTTGATACATTTCGCGTAATGTCATAAAATTCGTTTCTTGGTATGAGAAACTGTATGAATGTGGCTACCACATGCAATATAATACGTGATATGATAACATTCAATTATATACAAAAAGAGGAATTTAATACAAGGTTCTGACCATTCAAAAATCGTCAAATTTGAAGTCAATCGGTTTCGTACTCCTGCGTTCGATCCATGGAACCAAGGCAGCGCGTTCCATTTCTCGCGCCGCCAACAATGTTGCAACTTTCAACCGCTGTTTGCGAAAGTTCATAAAAAGAAGGAATCAAGTTTTTTCATCACAAACAGACTTTCTGAAACCCATTCCAAGTAAGACTTATATCATGAAGACGCTAGAGAAAGTGGGATTCTTGTGCAACTATACAAATGTCAGTGCATATGCCCGATGTTTGTATATTTACAGTAACAGGTCATAGTGTCCAATTTCTCCTTCAAAAATTAGGTCATGAAAAATCAACCTGTTGTTGTATTTGTTCATGCCCAAATTCCTTCTCTTCTGTTTTCACCCGTAAAGTGGGTATCGTTTTGAAGCTTACTATTTGGCCGATATTCTTTCACTTTCATTTTTGTTCTATATAACTTTTAACAGAACATTTTTGAAGGCAAAGAAACTGTAAAGAAATTACACTTTTTCTCAAGGTCGAGCTGCAATACACATTGTGCAACTTCAAAACTAAGTACACAGGTGACAAGCCAACATAACTATATTTCAGCCACATCTTACATTACAGGTGTATTGGTTAGAACTAGTTGCAAAAGCTTGCGATTCGAACAAAAATCGTTGAGAATTCGACTAAATGAGCCCAACTTACTATCGGTTATTATATTGTAACAACTACAGGATCCCAAAAGAAACAACACACGATAGATGAGGGAGGGTCTATACTTTATTAAACAATACACCAAATCGACGATGAAATAGGGCAAACGGGTTTGCCCCCAAAAAACTAAAGGGTACCTATCTCGAGTGGAATCATCTCCATCAGACACGGTCAACTTTGAAACCTCGTTTCTCCAACAAACACCACCGGTAATGTACATCTACGACCTTGAGCGTGACGCCGGCTCTTCTTACATCTCACGTTAACGTATGACAAGGAAACACTTACGCAAAGCGGAGTTACAAGCGAAACAGTAAACAGTAGCAAACTCTCGCGGATTCTCGCGGATCACATTACCTTGGAAAAGAAGCGCGAGATTTAAACGAGATCTTAGAGAGAGCTGCGCAGAACCGATGCGCATAGCGGTCTGCGGTTCGACTGTGTTCGACATACTATGCAAGAAATAGTGTAATGTTCAATAGTGTGTATAATAAATAACTAATACAATATACATGTACTACCATTGCTGATTAGCCTCTACCAGGCTTCGGGAGGCGGCTTGAAAGAGTAGAAATCGGTTAATGAGATAACATGCCAGGGGAGTTGGTCTGGTGAAGAGTGCGGCAAAATGTACTCTCCAGCAGACCAACTCCCCTGGCATGCTATCTCTCTATTTGGCCGATTTCTACTCTAGCACGAAGCCTGGTAGAGGCTAGGTGCAGATTACGATCAGAAAATTTTGTATTTTGGTGTCATGCAATTTTAAGGTACAGGTTGAAACTTGAATGACAGAAACCAACACAAGTATCTGATGAGATGTTCCTAAATGTAGGAATATCCAGTGTTTATTGTACAGGCGGAGTCTCCTACTAACACTACACACACTTCAGGTTATAGTCTTCCATTTCCTATTCTGGAGTGGGTAGAAAAAAAACTGAACCACATTTTTACATGGCTAATATATCACATACATGTAGGACTGTGCACAAAAAGTAGCAACATTGACAAAATTTCATCTAGGAAAAAACACACGCTCTATTTAAAAATGACATACAAAATCTACACAATAATTGAAACAAAAGCAAAGACCTGAATATTTACAATTTTTAAAGTACTTCATACCATAATCCAAGTTTCCTCTTTTCATTGGAAATGATAAAGTTTGATTTGTCTTTCCTGACATTCATTTGTTTTGGGGCCATTTTTTCAAAACATCATTTCGCACCATGCATATATCTGAGGAATTTTCATCAGTTCAAAATCAAATCCACTGTTAAGTATAAATCATGGAATGTACCTTTTTCAACCAAATGGCTTTGCCAACTTTCCATATACATTGTATAAAAGTCCTAATGTCATCATTGCAGTTTCTAGGCAGTTTCTATTGCATTAGAAAGTAGAAACACACATAGATGAGCTACAAAAAACTTAAAAACATCAGAGCTGCTGAGTTGGCCTTATAACATAGGGACGATTTCATAAGTCTGCAGAGTGCTTTCAAACAATTCTCTTGTAAGAAATTTTGCCAGTTGACAATGTACTGTTCAGACTTACAAGTACATCCTATTTTACAGTGTCTGCATATTTTAAAACAGCATGAATTTACCTCTAAGTAACAAGTCACTTTGTTTGTGTTCATGTTCCATTATATACATGGTATCTTACACTGCTACCGTGGACTTGTACTTTGTACATCTGGGGGAATAAAAAGCTCCACCCTTACAGGTCTGGCCAAAAACACAAGTTGTATGCAGCTATATTACACAGTATACTAAGTATAAGGAAGCTGTTCAATGTTGCATGTTACTTTTCAATCAATCAATAGCCTTCCTTATTACATGATGCTTAGCCTGATTAAATTGCTTTACGGTTGGCAGTCGCCCAACATCCAGCCGGCCACTAAAGCCGCGGACAGCAGAGTTTGCGTTACACAGACTACATGATACATGGAGGAAAGAAAAGTTGTCTCAGATTGCACAAACTACAAAAAATGTATATGTATATTAAAGTTAATGCTGGAAAGTAATGCTTGTGGCAAGTTTGCAGAAAGTGTAGAACATAGGAGTGGCCTGAATTAATCATAGCTGCCACAAACACAACAACTTTATGCTATAACTTATGTTTATAGTATAAACATTTCCTTTCAATTTGTGAGACCATATCATCCATGACAACCAAAACTTCACTATCCATATTACAAAAATTTGAGATTTTTTGGCTCACATAAACTACTTAACTGCAGGGCTTGACAATGATATACTTCTTTTCTGCAAGTAAAATGACCTGCAAGAAGGGAAGTTTTACAACTCTTTTAAAGTTTTTTTTAGAACAATGAACAAAGTAGTGACTTCGTACAGAGAACTATTTCACTATTGCCAGTAGAAATAGGAATCTTCCTACTCTAAATCTCATCACAAATGTTTGCATAAAGGTATCTTTTTGCATAATAGGACAATGGGTTCTTAAATGTTTAACACAAAAACATTTCTACACTGATTTAGCAAACTTACAAATTCAAGGTTGCATGGTTGGTAATTCCCTACTAATCTTAACACACTAACATTGTGATTGTTCCTTGAAATATCAAAATCACTAATTGCACTAAAAACCATGTTCTCCATGGTAGCTAAAACTATGTATACACACTTGACACAGGTTTCGTAAGACAAATTCTAATCTTTAGGACATCAATGACCCCCCCTCCAAAAAATGTTGGCTAGTTTGCTACATGATAGTTGGTCATCAGTGTATTGCTCCCAGTTCGCCCTCCCTCCCCCTCACAACACACAGTTGTCCTGCTCCCTCTATACTACTACTGTTACAACTAAAAAAGCCTGACTGTTTCTTTTTTGGTCCGACAGTTCCACATGGTTGTCTAAGCAATTTGGTGATGCAATCCTTGGTCCTCTTCTTATTTATTTTTTCCTCCTTGGTCTTTTTTTCTAAATCCTCACAATATTTTCTTCTTAAAAATGCTCCCTTGGTCTGACATTCCTCCCTCCCCCTCACAAATGTTTTTTGGTGTAGCTCCCCGCGTACTACTTCCCGACGGTGAAGAGCATGACCTTGTTGCCCTCTGGGTCGGTGACCTCCAGGTGGTCGTCGCCGACCCGCCTGCCGGGCAGCGTGAAACCCGACACCTGGAAGTACAAGGTCAAGTTCGAAGCCGTCCTTAGGTTCAGCCCTGGCTGACGGATCACGTAAAACTCCGCCCGCGGCGACAGCGGGAACAGGCTGACCTTGGACTGACCTTCCTTTGTGATTCTCTCCATCGCGTCGGTTCCGAGGACTTTCGCGTAGAATTCCGCCATCTCCGCGAACTTCGCCTCCTCCTGCACGAAAACCGACACCATGACCCCCGCGGAGGTCGCGCCTGTTGCCACGCCAACCGCGGGAAGCCTGTTCCGCTCGTCGACGTAGAACGCGGGGTCGGTCTCTGATTGGTCGGGAAAGTTCACCCGTTTCCATGGGGATGACCCAAGCCTGTCGGTGACCTGCGCGGCGCGGGATTGCATGTTCCCCGGGAAGGAGAGCGTGACGGAGATCGGCGGCACGACGTCCTCCGTACGCCGGTTCTTCGCAGGGGGTCCCTCCTCGCGGTTGTTACCGGCCGCCGCGCCGTTGTCCGTGGAGTTGGCTTCTCTTACCGTCAGGAAGGGGAAGGCACCTGTGGAAATATTCACATTTTTTAATCTCGAACATGTTACATTTTACCACAAAATAATACGTCATGGTTAGCCCCTACCAGGGTTCGGGAGGCGGCGCGCGGCTGGAAGAGTAGAAATCGGCCAAATGGAGAGATAGCATGCCAGAGGAGTTGGTTTGCTGGAGAGAACAGTTTGCAGTTCTCTTCAGCAGACCAACTCCCTTGGTATGCTATTTGGTCAATTTCTACACTTTCCAGCTGCCTCACGTAGCCTGGTAGAGGCTAGGTCATGGTAATCCCAGGAATGGATTCTACCCAAAAGTTGCACAGACTCAGGAAAACACTCAAAAAAGGAAGTAACAAGTAGAGGGAACTAAAGCTTCAAAATTGTAAAGCCAATTTAGGAACTCATGAGTCATATCAAGTTCTAGCCTTCTATTCTAAATCAACAAAAATACACACACAGAGAGACATTCAAAAAGGAAACGCTAGCCTTTTATAATACTAGTAGCCTCCGGCTAGTTGAGTAGCCCTAGCTGTACAACACCCTATACAGTCTACACACCGACCTGAGAAGGGTTTGATGACGTGTAGCAGCGCCCCCTGTAGTTCCTCCCCCTGTCCTGCAGCTGCCTCAGCCTCCACCAGACACTTGGGTGGGTTCACAAACATCGCCGCTGGGAGGGGAGAGCAACAGACTCCGATGAGCAGAGTTTAACATTCTTTCTAACAGAAACACTAACCTTTTGCAATGCAAAGCTTTCAAGGTGTATAAACTTTATTGCACAACAATTGTGAGAGGGACTATGTAGTATGTATGGCATCAAACATACTGATCAACCTTACCAACACTACATAGCGTAGGATGAAAATGCGCTTTTACAACATGCTGTCAATGTAGAGAGAAGATTTTGGTTAGCCTCACAAGCATCTTAGCTGATGAGATGAAGTAGAGAATACACTGGTAATCTTCATACCCTTTTCCTACACTTCATTGCAAATAGGTTGGAAAGACAATACCAACAAGTGAAGCCAAAAACAATCACAGCCACAGCCACACAGAAGATTGAATGTCAGGTGATCTAATAACGCAAGACCTAAATTGCAGGAAATCATCTCCACAAAGACAACTGTAGGTCCTGTCAGACTCACGTTCTATCTTGATGACCTTGAACCCCATGACCTCGTCCAGCTGCCCATTGCTGAAGGCCTTCCCAAGGTCAAGGTACGCCTCGTTGTCCTTGAACAGGTACAGCAGGTTGGTGGGGTTCCATCTGGGGGAGGGGGGCGGAAAGTAAAAAAACAATTCTTACAAAATTATTTGGAATCTATAAAGTTTAATATGGACAGGAATGATACAGCAAAATTTTGTGATGTTTTGGAACCCTGATTGGTTCATAATATATGATGTTACAGGTCACCTCAGAAATTGGTTCAAGTTTGATGTTACAGCTCACCTGATTGGTTCATGTATGGTGTTATGGCTTACTTGATTGGTTGATGTATGATGTTACTGCTTACCTGATTGGTTAGAGTTTGATGTTACAGCTCACCTTATTGGTTCATGTATGATGTTAAAACTTACCTGATTGGTTCACATTTTACATCCTTTGCCTGGCTCATGATGGTTTCTGCGACCTTCTTTGCATGGTCCTCATTCAGAGTCAGGGGCCCCAGGGGCTCCAAGCACACCAGCCCCAACCTGCCCTCCCCCGCAACCGTGGGCGACATGGTATGGCCCCAGTCTTTGTGAAGCTGAAGTTGAACAACACACAATCGTTATGGGGGAGAATTAAATATTCCTCATTTTTCTGTTGGCCCCAAATGGGGACGATAGAAACCAATTGCAACCTGCCCTCCCTCGCCACTGTGGGCGACATGGTATGGCCCCAGTCTTTGTGAAGATGGAGTGGAACAACACATAATCTTTATGGGGGAGAATTAAATAGTCCTCATTCTTTCAGGTGTCCCAATGGCGCAGTTTAAAAACCGATTTTCAACCTGCTCACCCCCACTAGAGGGTGACATGGAACAGCCCTAGTCTTTACACCACTGTAATATGGAACACAATATACCAGTATATATCAGGGGTGAAGAGGATTCAATAAACCAAATATTCACATTGTTCAGCTTGAATCTTAGCACATCATAGCTGGTGTGTTATACCAGAGGGCGGTTATACTGGCTATACAGATACTTATCAAATTAGCACTTTTTTCATAATTCAAAATGTTTTAACATTTTTGTAAATCAGGATTTTCTTCAAATAGCAAGTCAGATAAATTCGTACTGTACATCCCAGAAATATTTGAAGATGTCTTATATTCATATAGATTTGGGTTGTGTCTTGCAATTGTATTACTGTGGTTATTTCGACCATGAACTGAAAATACCACAAACAAGTGTCCTTTTCCCTCCTACCATAAAATCAACCCCTGCAAAAACCTATGTCATCAATTTCACATTTTACAGTCAGTCCTCATATTATTACTGTGATCCCCTAAAACAGATTCCCTCTATGCCTGTCCTATCCTTCTTATATGCGACCCTGTGACCTCCGGACCATCCATGTGGATCCCAGATACAAACACGGGATAGAAGTATGAATTATTAATAACCACATGAAACATGATTAAGGTGACATAAGGACACACAGATTCTGTTGGCTGGTTCTTGCATATCTGATAAAATGCTAAACTGAACGTTACACATGAAAACTGGCCTTGGTAGACCGAGTTTTAGGGAATGAATACAGACAGATCTGAGTTTTTCTCCCAGCCCTACATGTATGTTTGAATGCCATTCTCTTAATGAATTTTTGCTTGCATGTACAATGATATGAAAGGGCCAAGGGAACAAATTGTAGAGGGCTCAGGCTCTAAGATCAGAAAGGATTACATGGTTTTCATACCCATGATCTGGCTGTACATTGAATATTGTATTCCCCAAAGGAACATGAATCTTTTCACCAACCTCTCATCATCACCAACCTCTCATTAACTTTTATATTCCAATGATGATCTTTCTTCAACAACACTGTACAGGTACAACACACGGCACGGCTATATAACAAACATACTAATTTAACTAAGTAAAAGACTAAAATG